CCTGCGCGCGGCCTGGGGACGAGGAGCCCGCCCGCCGCGCTGAGGGCATGGAGCCGGCGGCGCTGCCCTCAGCCCCCGCCGCGGAACGCCGGGAGGGAGGGGACTTCGCCGGGTGTCGCCCGGATTGGTGTTTCCTCCACTCTTACCGCCTTCCCGGAGCGCCGGGGAAGGGGATTTGCTGGCTCCTTCCCCCTTGTCTTGGGGAGGGTGGGGTGCCGCCCGCGCGGGAGGGCGCTAGAGTGGGTTAAGACGAGGAAGCTCTCACCGCTTCGGTTAATGCAAGGAAGGAGGCTTTTTTCCCTCTTCCTGCAGCATCAGCAAGGAGAGGGCACCCTGCCCAAGCACCACTGTGTACATAGGTGTGAGAATATTGCTTGCTTCCCACGTAATCTGCTGCTGTCACGACTTGCTAGTATAAGAAGGCCAAAGCCGTATCTGTCACTGGGGAGACAAGGATCGCATGCTCAGGCCAAGAATAAATTGATTATGAGAGGTATGTGGGCTAAGGCCTAGGTATGTTCCTCTAAGGCCAGAGGAGACAAACAATGTGGTTTGTCTGAGCTAAGCCTGCCCATTTATCTCCCAGCAAGAGTTCCCACATCCTTTCCAAAATCCCAGCTCCATTGCTCCTGCCCTTTCTTTCACGCTTGTATAATCTTGTAAGAACTGGCTGTTCCCTTGTTCATTTGTCAGCATCGTCAGTAATCTCAAAATTTTAGTAGGTGACCTGTTTGTCAGATAAAAACCATTACTTTAAAACACAACTCCTTGTTAGAGAGCCAATCTGGATTGTTTGCTCTTCATGGCAATTAACTGTCATCTCTTCATGGCAATTAACTGTCATCTACCATACTGTACAACAGATAAGTCTGTCTGGAGTTCTTTTACTTAAAGAATTTGTGAACTGTTTTGCATCTCCCACCCACACCTTCGGTGAAGTTTCCAGTCATTTCCCTTCCCTATCCACAGGGCAGGTGCTCTGGAGAAATGTGAATTTCATTGGACATTGTGTAAAACTGCCACTATGGTATGAGGAATTCAAAGCCATGAAGAACTTCATTCATCTTCTAATATGCCAGACTGAACAGGTCAAATAACACTCTATTATCTTGACAAAATACCAAATACATATTAATTTAGTGCCTGTTTCATATCCCTTCAAGTTAGACATTCCATTGGAGCAGCTTATGTCACTGCTGGTATATCAGTTGCCTTAGTAGAGGATGGAGTTTTCTTCATATTGATAGTAATCAATTGCTTGCATGGTAATAATTGTAGGGGTGTGTAGAACTAATGTGGGTAGTTCCAATGCTCTAATCAATGTATAAGAAAAAAAGGGGGAAAAATACGTTGCAGTTCCTCAAAGGCATGATGATAGGAGACATGAGGCCTTAAGTTGTGCAGTTAAAGACACACAAAAGTGCCTTGTAATTATTCTAAGGAGAACTTAGACTGCTGCAGATGCAAAAGGTTTTCCTGTCATAAAAGCAACACATCACTGAAATGCAAAAATGCTAATTTTTATATGGGCAACATGATCCTTGCTAACTACTCTGTGGTGATAAATGTAGTCCCGTAAGGAATTTCTCCCCCTTTGTTATACGCCTAACTGGAAGATGTAGTTTAATATTGTAATCATTGATTGTATAAACCCACTGTGATAAAGCAGTCTTTTTTTCCAGCTGGAAGAGCAAAAAGGTTTGGAATAGATCTTTCTTGGGCTGCTTTAGTTTGGGCTGAGGTGAGGAATGTGCCATACAGTATAAAAATCATTGAATAGGATTTTGATGATTGTTGGGCAGTCAGATATTAGGAGGGAGGCTAGCAACTCATGATTTGAGGATTAGGATAGATGGATTTCTGTATTAACCCATGTGGAAAACATTGCATCAACATTTAACTATGCTGTTGTTCTAGCCAGTCATAAGACCAATTTCTGTTGATCCTGTGCTTCTCTGTCCTTGGCTGCTGATGTACCTAACTGAGTGAAGAAAAGCCCTGCATGGATTCAGATTCAGGAAGATTTTTCTGTTTACATGAAAATTGTAAAGCCCAATTATTCTTTTAAATGAAAACTAGATTTTGAAGTAACTGACTATCAGGAGTTTTGGGTGTGGCATTCTGTTGATAAAAGTTTGATTCTGGTGTGTTATTTACATCTTATAAAGCTGATTATTAAATTTATCCCACATTATTTATTACTCTGGTAGATGAAAATGTAAATTATACCCTATTTACTGTTATTGCATATTACAATTGCTGTGCATTCTTTCTAATATCTCCATACATTAATTGTACAAGACATGATTCTTAAAATTAAAGATTTGCTTATTTATCTGAAATAATTTTCTTCGATTGTATTGATTCTTAATCTGCCACCAGGGGGCAATAATTCCATTTCCTAAATCTGATTTTTTAACAGTTTACAATAGAACTGTGGTTCATCAACATTTTTGAGGGACTTGCATGTGAAAGTCAAAACACAATTTTCTTTAAAATTCTTTAATTGCTTCAGTTGTGTAATTTAATATTTTGCAGTACTTAGGCAGGTAGGTTTTACTTTTGTTTTGAGCAGTTGAAATTAGATGGGTTTGTAGAAATTTTTACCGGTGAGCCTCATGTAGCACTGTAATCGTGAAAGGTTTGGATTTCATGCAAAATAGGATTTTGTGTGGTTTTTTTATATTAACACTGTAATATTTAAAAATTTATTCTGAATGCCTTTTTTTTTTTTTTTTTTTTTTTTTGTATTACACTAATGGTCTGTTAATATTTATTAGCCTATATATGTAATCCTGAATTTGGGAATTATATCACTTGACAGGTACCTTTATATATATATTCTTATATGATATGTATTTATTTTATTTATGTACATAGTAGTTCCAACAGACTGCAACTAAAGCCAAACAGGCCTTCTGTAAAAATCAGTACAATTCTGTATCAAAGGCAATCTTCCCTTTAATAATAATAATCACGTAACAGGATATTCCATCAGGTGCATATTTATTGTTAAAAAGATGAGTCAGAGGAAATATCTTCCTGCAAAGGTGCAAAAGTAAAAAATCATGAAAGACAGAAAGAGCTGTAAGCATGTTTAAACTACATAGAATCATCAATTTTTTTCTATATTAATATGTCTGTCTGTATGAACTTCCTAGGCTCCCTAAGGTCCTCACCATGGCATAATGATTAGGCATAAAGGTGTGGAACATTACTGTGTAAATTTTTACACTGTAAGATGTAATGATTTAAATCTGTTTCTGGTAATAGTACAGTCTTTCTTGATGTGCTCATCTTAATCTGACTACAAAAAATTGTTCCTGTATACATGGTGAATAGTCATCCATTAATTTAAGAAGGCAAATCTCTTATTTCTTCACTTTGTTGCATGAGTATGAGCAAGATTGAGTCAGCTAATCAGATCTGAACAGGACAGTGCTAAACAGCATTCTCTTTTGTGGTGTCCTGAATGGCACACCTGAAATAAAATTAAAAGTCACGGATGTGGTATCATGCTGGAGATGTAGGTTTTAGGACATATAAACTGAAGCTCCTACTTTTTGTACCTGTAATCCAGAAAAGAAATTACGTAGATGAAAAAAGTACCCTTAAGGCGACATTAGGGCTATGTAAACAGCAACTGCTTGCTGCATATGAGCACTGGTGTCTTTCACTGAAAAGATTTATCGAATATTGTGTTCTTGGTAAGGTTTTGAAACTTGGCAGCAAGCCATTTCCCATCTGAAGGAGTCTGAGGGTTCTAAGCAAAGGTCTTAACAGAGCTTGCTGGAAATTCTTATCCACGCTAAGGAGTATGAACAGAAGATTCATGCTGCAAAATGACATTATTATATGTGTTGTTTGTATCTTTTGAGTTAAAGAGGAGGTGCAAAATTGCCTGAATAATTTCATTTTGTCAGCTTTAAATGTATGGAAATATTGAAGTACATGCTCATAAGATGGCTATCTTTATATCTTGAGTTTCAAAGTATCTTCAAAGTTATTTTTTAAATATTAGATGAAGATTTCCCCATTGCAGTTTTTGTATTATTTAAAATATTTTATTTACTTTTATCTCATAATATGGAAAGAAAGAAAAAAAAAAAGTGTTCTATAACACCTACTTGCAAGAGCAACTGTTTTTTGTGTGTGCACTAAGGCTTGTGACCTAGCACATTCACTGATGGCAGGGTTGTCTCCAGATGCATAAAAGTAATTCTACCCTAACAGGGAAGTGTTTGAGTTGGCCACTGCTATCCTTTCTTCCAGTTTTTCCTTCAGCCTTACAGCAGTGAGACCACGAAATGGCTGAGAAATATTTGGGCCCCTGTTTTGTGCTGGGAAGGTGGTTAACCTGTCGCTGGCAGACATACTGTAGGAGGATGCTTGGAAAAGCAGAAAACACTGGGAAAACTCAGGTAGTCATTTCCATTTTGGAGGCATCTGTGTTTCAACCATTCATGCTGTGCTTGTCCATTCCCAGTACTTCAGTGTTTTGCTGTTAGGGAGTAATACCCCTTGTGAACGTGTCCCAGCCCTCCAGTAAGGTTAGATCACCTCCATCCCCAAAACATTAAACCTAAGCAGACTTTTCTCCTCTCTTCTTATCCTTCCCTTACTCTTACTTGGCCACCACAAGCAAAATAGAAAGTAGCTATTACCGCTGACAGAAGAAACTTAATTTGCCATTGTGGAATGGCAAAATTCAGTTTGGCCTACAATACTGAGAAACCCTAGAGTGACAGAATCGTTTAGGTTGGAGAAGACCTTTAAGACCATGGAGTCCAACTGTTAACCAGTAGTAGGTTCAGTCCCAATGGACCATATACCCAAGTGTCAAATTTGCATGTCTTTTGCATGGTGACTCAACCACTTCCCTGGGCAGCCTGTTCCAATGCTT